CAGCCAGTGCGCGTGTCGCACCGCCCACCGCCCGCCTCCCCTCCAGCTCCACTCCCTGCCTCCCCCGCCCCCAGCCCTGCCTCCCAGGGTCCAGCCCCAGCGCCGCGCCTGGCGGCTGATCCCCGGAGTCGGCTGCTGAGCTTGGGTTCTCAACCCTGTGGGCAGCGTCTCCTAGACCTGCAGCTGCTCCCACGAACCTTTGTGAGAGAGGAAAGCTATTCCAGACCTTTATGTGTACCTCGAGAGTGAAAGGAAGGGCACTTCGCTCGTGTTAGAGGCCTTAACATCAGGCTACTCCAGGGGAAAGCCTGGTTCGATGACCCCATGCCTCCCTCCCCCATCCGATTTCAGCCGCTGGCGGCCGAATGGGCTCTGGAAGTGGCCGCCAGAAGGGTCGCTGCACTGGGCCAGGGACCTGGCCGGGGCAGCTTTGCGTGCAGAGCTCGCCGTAGGGCCTCTCTCTCAGGAGCGGATAGATGATTCATTTTTATATGTAACGTTTTACCCCACTCTATAGCTCCGGCCGGTTAATGTTCAACCTTAGGGCTTCGAGAGGCAGCTCGCGGGCAGCAGGCAGGGATGACCCATTCAAGGTATATGGCCGCGCGGGCGTGAAGGCGCAGAGGGTCGAGAGAGGGTGAGGAAGGGCGCGCGGGAGACTCCGCCGCCGGCGCCTCCCTCGCAGGAGGGACCGCGGCCGAGGCCAGCACGCGTCCCGCAGGCTCAGCCAGGAGGCCGCGCCCCGCTGGGCCCGACCGCCCACGAAGACACCGCCCAGGCCGGAGCGGCGCGTGCGGGGGTGGCAGGAGGGCGCGCGGGGGCGGTGCTTCGCCCTAGCCGGACCCCGGGCCTTCCGCGCCGCCCCGAGCTGCGGACTGGCGCGGGCGGGAGGTGGGAGTGTGGCGGCAGCTGCGGATTAGGTTCCGGTTTTGTTGTCCGGAGGGACGTGCCCACACCAGTGCCGGGACCGCGAGGGTCTCCGGAGGTGCGTGGGTGGCTTTCTGGGCCGCCGCTCGTCCAGGTGCCTCGGAAAATACGGTCAGTAGAGTGTGAGGACGCAGATCTTGCCATCACCCTTCTCTCACGTCGCCGGCCAAACGATGAACATTAAGATGAAGTGGCTGTTCTGGTCAAGAGACCGCGGCAGGACATGGCTGTGCCTTAGCCACGGTTCAGGCGGCCAGCGAGGCCCAAGGGGAAGGCGCCCTGGGGGTACGTTCAGGTGGAGCAGCGACACCTTGGATCCTTCTAAGAGCTGGGCCAGGTGGCCCCGCGGAATCCATGGGTTCCAAAGGGCCTGGCCAGCTGTCCAGACGGCCATCCCCCCCGGCGCTGGGCTACTGACAGGCTGGCGGTCTGCGCCAGGACAGGAGGCTCCTGGCTGGGAAGGGTGTCCTCTCGCCAGGAGTTGCAACCCAGCATTTGCTGGCGGGGCTTTTTTTTCTCGGTCAGAGAAACAGACAAACAAGACCCTGACTCGTCAGATAAGAGGGGCTCCTGCGATTTCACAGATTTTAAATGGGGGCTGGAGGCACCTGAGGTCAGATCCCTGTGAGTGGCCATCGCCCGAGTCCCAGCGCCCACAGAAGGAGGGCTTTATGTTTTTGTTTGATGTATTATTTTCTAACAAAGTGACCTTGGACTCAGGCATGCGGGGCCCCTTTCTTGGCACTGGGGAATACCTGCAGGGCCTCCACGTCTGTGCTCATCAGTCTTACGTCCCCGTGCCCGTAACACAGCAAGGTGAATCAGCCAGAGAAACTCACGGTCAACCAAACGCAGGAAGCCACATGAAGTGACACCGGAGAAGGCCCTGCCAGTCTATCTGGGAGGACCTAGAAGATGCCATCAAGCTTCAACTGGGTGCAGCAACCCCACCCAAATGCCCGCCCAGTGAAGTAGAGTTGGGGCTGCCCACAGCAGCAGAACGGGGAAAAGCGCCCAAGAACTGAGTTGCCTCTAGGATGGGTTCCAAGTCCCATTCCATGTACTGCCCCGCCGTTTTCTCAGGGACATCAGGGATGAGTCTAGGTCTCACCTTCCTAGAGCGACGAGGATACAGGTCGTGCCCAGGACTGCGTTCGAGGGAGTCCCGCAATGCTGCCAACTGCCCGCGGAGTCAGAAAGGTTTTGCGACGTGTGGACGGAAGAAACATTGGTAGTGGGCGTCTCGGGGCTCTAAGGAACCGCCCCAAGCCATAGTCCGGGTACCTCAGGTTCCAGGAGCCGGGGGCCATTTTCTAAGTCGATGGGGGATGGGGGTGGGGGGAAGACGTTGGTGTGGATAAAGAAAACGGGGCCCGGGGAAGATAGGCGGAGAAAGAGCAAAGGGGAGGACACCAACATTTTTGCAGGAAGAATAGGGGAAGCCGGTTTGGAAAGACCCATCAAAGTCAGGGACTGTAGACACACACCCTGCTCAGGGAGGGCCCAGTGAGTCTGAACTTCTCTTAGCCCTTCTGAGAGAAGAAAAAAAAAAGAAGTACTCCCCCCCCAAAAGTAAACACCTTTACCCTATATTCATTTAAATGGTTTAAATGTCTTTAAAAAAGGAATTTACATGATTCTTTTAGCCATGCTTTGGCTGAGTAACTTAAGCCTCAAGTTATCTCCTGTTTTCCAAAGCTGCCACTGAACTGTTAATGCATTGTTGTTAGAACAGGAGTAGCAATGATTTTTTTTAAGGTAACTAAGTATAATGCATCTTCAGTGGGATATTTTATTTCTAGCAGGCCTTCTCTACTCCGCAAACAAAACCTAAAAGCAACATTTACATAAAATACTCAGCACAGCAGTGAATGAAGTTATGCATCCCAAACACAATAAATTCTGGTTTCTATCTTTTCAGATAGAAAGTCAACAATGAGAAGGCCTCTCTTCTTGGGGGTGGGGGCACGGGTGGTAAATACACTTTTAAGATTAGAGTAAAATTTCCCTGGTTTTCTCTGCTAAACCCCGAAAAGGTAAATTATGTGTTTACAATCGGGTTTCTACTTAACCCATTGTTGTTGTTTTTTTACTTTAAATCTCGCCCCCAATTATCATGTTCTCAAGTTCAGTTAAAATGCAATCGTCAGATTAGGGAGGATGGGGAGAAAGGGTAGTTTTTAAAAAATTATTTCTGAAAACCTGCTACAAGACTTTTTTTTCTGTTTACTTGGAGACCTGTCCTCCCTCAGTCGGCCACGCTGCTTCTTCCCGGTGCGCTTAGATCAACTGCAGCCTGCCAGGTTTTAGAAGTCAATCAATAGGGACTCTATATTTATATAAAGGCCTCTGATCTGATTACACCCGCTTTTCTTTCTCTCTTTCTCTCTCTCAAAAAAAAAAAAAATAGAGGAGCGGGGGACTCCTTGCATAGTCCGTGTTGACTGTGAGCAGCGAGCCCGGCGACGGCGGGGAGAGCGCCCGTGGATTAGGATGTGGATTGCAGAACAGACCTTTGTTTGGACACATTCGTGATGGTGGTTGGGGGGGGGGAGGGTCGTCCTCCCGTCCTCCTCCAAGATCGCGCCAGGTTTTTATGGACTCGCCTTAAAAGAGCTCACCGCTCTTCACAGGGTTAATTTATGGGGCTTTCGAGGAATATTGGGACTTTTAAGACGCTCATTTTTTCCCCCATTAATTTTTTGTTGTTGTTACACTCCTACAAGGACTCCCGCGTTTCAGCACCTCGCAGGAAAAGTGTGGGGGTGGGGGAAAAGTAGGGCCAGGAGGCCAAGGGGAGGATTTGCCTCCTAATCAAGCCGCCGGCACAGTCCAGGCTGCCCAACTATTACAAATAATAATAAATAAATTTCTAACCAAGTTATGCACAGTAAAACTCCAGATTTAGGAACTGGGAGGAAATTGAGACAAACATGGGCTCTATTCACCTTTCCCTAATTAGTCTCCACTAATTTGAATTCGATATTAGGGGAAGGAAGAGTTTGGGCCTTAGAAATTTCTAAAAGGTTAAAAACCGAGGACAGGCTGGAGAAACGGTGAGTCACAGGTGGTGGGGGTGGGGGGTGGGGAGGAAAGCCCCTAGACCACGACTCGTCTTGCGGGTTCCTGCCCAAGCTCCGGCCTCTGGGCGCTCAGAGGTGGCGGCGGAGGGCGGAGGCCTGCGGACGTGGGCTCCCCGCCGACCTCACGCTCGCCATCTTCGATCCCAAGCGGAGGAGGCTGGTGTTCATGCTATAGATTACCTAAAGGTTCCTTTAAGCACTTTAATACACAACTAGCTCAGAAATCATTAAGAGACCTAGAGAAGGAGAAAAATTACCCTCACACTCACCGGTAATAAGTGTTGACATGCAGCAAAAATCGATTGAGTGGAACTGAGTTGGTGGCAGTAGCGATGGCTGGAGGGGGGAAGACGTGGGAGCGGGAGGGGCGAGGGGGTCGACTCCACTAGCTCGGGAACAAGGCTTTTCACACTTGAAGGGAAAAGGAGGTGCGGAAAGGGGCCGGCAGGCCAGCGGGGATGGTGTCGGGAGGAAGCAGGGTGAGACGGGTAATTCTTCCTTCTGGAAGTCCAGGGCAAGGAGCTGAGGTAGGAGAAATGGCCTCTCAACAGTCCCGAATCTCCGCCCCCAGCCCGCACCACTCAAGTCGGGAAAGTGACAACTCTTCCCAAACCTCGACTTGCATTTTTGTTTCCTGCAGATTGCGTCCCTCGAAATAGAGCTCTACTTCAGCAAGCGAACCAGGCCGAGATCCACTTCCTGTACCCAGCGCTCCCAAGTTCCTCTATGACTACCAGGAGACGCAAATCCTTCCAGCGGGTCTCGTTAGCACTTCCAGCCCCCAGCCCCAAATCCCCTCTCCCAGTCCCCGCCGCCCCTCCCCCGTCACCACTCCCCCCACCCCCACCCCCCATACCAGGCGGAGGCTCGGGGCGGCCGGGACAGCTGGGCCCCGCGGCTCCAGAAGCCAAAGTCCGCCCGAGGGGACCGTTTTCCTCTCCAGTGCTCTTCAGTGAACAACAAGGATAGAGGTGACCCTCGTCCAAAGGGCTTTTATCTGCCCCCCACTGCCGCGTGATCCCAGGTCGGAGGCAGAGCTTGAAAAAGAAAGGAAGAAAGTTAATGTGCATTAAACACTGATCTTTAAATCAGGGACATTATTTGCGATCTCTTTAAATGGTAGCAGCAGTTCCCTGCAGAACAAAGACTCAGTGTCTGAGCTCCAAAAGCTTATAGGTAAAGTTTCAATCAGATAAAAGAAACCTCAGCGCAAAAACACAGGTTTTCTCGGCTCCAGAAAATCGGCGGCTCCTTTTCGCTCCGGGTTCCGCAGGGTGGTGTTTGTCGTCGCTCCCCGGGGGGTGGGGGACAGGCAATGACCGGAATAGCAGAAGACCTCAGAACCCTTGTCTCCCCCACTGACCCCCCTAGCGCCAAGGTGATGAATTCTTTGGGACTAAGTCGTATTTGCTATTTGTTACGAAATCAAATTCCACATTAAAAAAAAAAAGCTGAAAACCATCGACAAAGGATGAGCGGGTGTTTAAAGTTCTTTTAAACACTCACACCGACCTCATTCCCAGTTTAGATGTCAGAAGATGGGAGGAAGGGCCAGGGCTGTAATTCATCTTGATTTGCTTCATTGTCCCGCAGTTTGCAAACTATAATCCTGTATAATTTCAGGAACAAGCAGGTTTAGAATTAATGGGTCAATATTATTTAAAACAAAACACTGGGAGCGTGACCTTTGCCTCAACTACATATTGCTCGACAAGACTCAGGAAACTCCACTCTAACCTCTCAACCCCTGGGCTCTTTGAGAAACTGAAGGGCTGTAGTTATTAGAAACTGTCTTTGTTTCTTTTAATGTCTCAAAAGGATTTGGAAATAGTAATGCAATATAACATGAAGAATCTCTCTACTTAAGCCTGAAAGATAAACGTGGAGGCCTAAATATTTTGAACTGGAGGTGTTTCCTTGTAAACTTATTATAGATATATTCCTCTTGAGAGGAATGTATATAAACTGTACATATATACATACACACACACACACACACACACACACACACACACACACACGCTTCTCCAGAGCAATTTACTGGAAGTGCAGGTTCCCTGCCCCCTCCCCCAGGAGTAAGAGATTCATTCCAAGCTGGCATACTTTCTAAAGTTCTTTCTCTTTTCTTCTTTCTCTCTTATATTTGCTAACAATAATGGAATCCTCCGGGTTTAAGCCAATGAAAAACCTGGGAGACAAGATCAGACTTTGCAGCCCCTTTTTTTCTGGGAGTGCCTCTGTTTGTTTGTTTGTTTGTTTCTGATACATGACTATAATTTATTTCTACCGAATTTAAATGAGTACTGCTGCCTTGTATCTTTAAGGAGGCAGGCAGAGGGACTGGTTTGTTTAGGAGGTAGTGGCTGAGAAACCCCACCCGGGCGACAGAAGAGTGCAGAAAGAATCCAGACCAATTTGTATACAGTATAGTTTACTCCCATGAAATAAAACACATTTTTTCATATTTGCTGAAAAGTAAAACAATAATATTGTACGAAATGTTATACACAGGGTAGGTTGTACATAGCAGTTTCAGAAACATCATTGCATCCACCAGAAAAAAACTATTCTAAAACTGATATTCACACATTTTTTTAATAATAATAATATGTTAGAAACATACAGTGTGGTATTTAGTATATACATTCCTTTGCTTGCAAGCGAAAAATCCTAATCGCTTCTGTATAACATGCTTTATTTTAAAGCCTAACCTTTAAAAACACTGTTGTGATATTACTAACAACTGCTTTTTATAAAATTAATTTGACATTTCGATATATATACATCCTTTCAGTCATTTTAATGTTAACAATGCTAAACTTAAAAAATAACAAGCTTATAGTAATGTTAAAATGTCATATTCAGTCAAACATCTGTGTGTGTGTGTCCTTGCAACTGTTGGAAATACTTTTAGTGAAAGATGTCAGACATTGAGGAAATTCCTTTGAAATCAAGGGGGCTCCCTCTTTAATTCAGTGGTTTCCTTTTCTCTCTCTAGCTTCTCTTTGTCTCCCTCTCTTTAGTGCCCACGACCTTCCATCGTTATTCCCAGTCTTTCAAGGGCAGAGTTGCCCGGTCCCGCACGGTCCTAGGATCCCCGCGCTCTCGGCGCGGCTCACACCGGCCGGTCCACCGCGTACTGGCAAGCACTCAGGTTGGACGCCGGGTTCTGCACGCTGGCGTAGCCGAAGCTGGAGTGCTGCTTTGCTTTCAGTCTCAGGCTGGCCAGGCTCGAGTTACACGTGTCCCTATAAACGTACGGAGGAGTCGGCGGCGCGTAAGGACAAGCGGGCGTCGGCACCGCGGAATTCAGCGATGGGCTGCTCAGGTTGTTCAAGTTATTCAGGCTGTTGAGGCTGGAGCCCGGGACACCGGTCACTGCTGAGGGCACCATGCTGGACGACATGCTCATGGACGAGATGGAGTTGGGCGGGGAGAACATGCTCTGTGACGACAGGGGGTTGACGTTCATAGAGTTGAAGAAAGGGAAGCTCTTGGTGGACAGAGAGGCCGACGTGAGGCCCTTGGCGGCCCAGTTGTTGTACGAATAGCCCGGGTACATGTCGTCGTAGGGCTGCATGAGCCCGTTGAACTGCGGCCCGAAGCCGTTCTTGCACAGCTCGGCCTGCTGGTTGCGCTCTCGCTTTCTCCACTTGGCCCGGCGATTCTTGAACCAAACCTGGGGGGTGGGGTGGGGGTGGGGGTGGGGGCAGGAGCAAACAGACGCCACAGATCGGATAAGTAAAACCTGGATCCCGGAGCGCATCAGAGGCTGCCTTCTCTCTCTCTCTCTCTCTCTCTCTCTCTCTCTCTCTCTCTCNCTTCTCTCTCTCTCTCTCTCTCTCTCTCTCTCTCTCTCTCTCTCACACACACACACACACACACACACACACACACACACACACACACACACACAACCATGGTCGCCACCCTTTTCCCCACCCCCGCCCCGGCCCGTGCCCCAAACTGCCAGAGCCGGCACGCAGTCCAGCGCCAAGCCCAGACCAAACTAGGGAGGCCCGGCGGCCCAGGCCTGGGAGCCCGGGGTCTGAGCTGCGCCACAACCCCCAGCCAAACGCCTGCCAGCCTGCAGTGGCTTCTTCACCAGGCCCTCCTCGGGGTCTAAAAACACTTACTGCAAAATAAACGCAGGTCAGAGGGCTTTCCGCCCAACTCTTCCCAGCCACCTTGCAAACTTGCTTCCATTCCAAAGCCACAAACTCAGTGTAGATCGCCAGGGTCTGAGAGGGCACCACAGCCGGCTTTCTCCCCCACACAGTTCCTCCCTCCCCTCCCGGATCTCCACTGCCGCTTCCCACTCCAGGGAATGTGCGCCCTCCCCTCAACGAGCGACGGGTCGCGCGCGACCCCCTTCCTCGCCTAGCAAAATAACCAAGTAAAAAGCAAACGGCCACCTCCCCGACAGCTCATTAAACTCCACGAGCTTCGTGCGTAAATCTCCGGGAACCCAGAGAGGGTTGCTCTGCAGCCTCCTCCTCCTTTCGCTCCCCTCCTTCTCACCCTCCGCCCACCCCAGGCCAGGCCCCCGCGCCCCGCGCTGCTCCCGCTGGGCCCAGTCTGGTGGCTTGGCTTTGCTGGCGGCCACCCAGCCCGGCCAGCTCCTACTCATGTCCGGTGGCCCCGCCGCAACCCTGCTCTCAATCCACATTGGGTCCTCGCGTCGCCCCAGACGGCGGCTTTTGTGTATTGGAGCGAGGCCTGGCCCGAGATTTCGGAGTTGACACCGGTGATGTTTCACATTACACAGCTCAGCCAGGCCCAGCCACCTAATCCGCATTTTTTCCCTTTTTCCTTTCATTCTCGATTTCCTTTTTAGTCCCCTTCCTCTCTGCATCCGACTGCTATAAAAAGCAAGCCTCACTCCCACTTGGCTGGACCTGCCGCGGGCCTGGAAGGAGGTAGCGGGAGGAAGCGAGAACCCTGCGTGGCGGCGGCAGGGGACTAGGGAGGGACTGCAGAGAAGCCTGAGGGGGTGGGGGAGGGCTTTTCCGAAGGATTCCGCAGAACCCACAGATTGTGCTTTTATTTTAATTACTTGTCATTTCTACCCTAGACCGTCTAAACTTTGCCCAGGGAGAAGAGTACGTGCGAGGCCCGTTCCCCTGTTGCGCAGGAAAGCTAATGAAAGACTGACCTTGGCGCAAAACCACACCGGCCGGCCTGGAGCACTAGCTGTACGCAGTTAAACTAAAACCATTTCCAACTTCATCCCGGCTCTTTTAGCACCAGTATTGCCTCATACCTTACACAAATGCCACCCAGAGAGTGCCTTGGTTCCCTCTGCTCTGGGAGTGCATTTTGGTCTTATTCTTTTCATCATTATTGTTACATAATGTTTGCTTCTTTCTGCTTTTCTGCTCTGACTGGGGCTCTATTTTTCTATCCAGAACATTTTTGTTTCTACAGCAAAGTCTCTGGATCCTGCTATGTGTGTTTTCTGCTTCCAGAATCCTAACAACTTTGGAATTTTCCACTGACCAGCATAAACCAGGATGTTGCTACTGGGTAATTGATTTAAGTTCATTTTTGCCAATCCATAAAGTACAGATTTGCTACAAAGGTAAGCCCTTTCTTTGATAAAACTATTATAACTGGGAGGAAGGGTGTAACAATCTGAGAAAAGATAAATAAACCAAACCGAAAAGCCTTTCTTTTTCTTTTTCTAAGAGGACTAGCAGGATAGTAGTTGTGTATTGAAATGACTTCCGAAGACCACAAAACCAGGAGATAGGGTGTGGGAGAGACCTGAATGGCCGAAAAACCGCAAAGACCTTGTAAGGAGGGCAAGAGGGGTAGAGAAAAGGCCAGGCCGGACGCGAAAGTTTCCCAGCAAGGGCCACTCCTATGCGTGTCTCTGGCCGGTTTTCCTTGTTATAGGCGCACAGGTTGGAGCCTGTTCTCGGCTCCTGGCCTGGGAGGGATTTTATTAGCGCTCCCTGGGGACTGAACACTGGGAACACAATGCCTTGTGCAGGGGAATGCCACGCGGCCCAGTTTGGGAGGGCGCTGGGTGGCGGGGCGGCGAGCGGGTGCCGCTCAGGGTCCCTGCGCCGGGCCACGGCCGGTCTCGGAAGGGGGAGCTGTAACCTCGCAATTGGGGCCGCCATGAGGCCTTCTGCCTTTTCAAAGGCACCCCACCCGTGCCCTCCGGGGCGGCGCTGCCTTCCACACTCCCACCCTGTCTACGCCGCCTGCGTCCCTACAAACCCCTCCCGCCTCGCCCTCTCAGACTCCGCGCGGGCTCCTACCCGGACTCGGGCTTCCGTAAGATTGGTCCACACGGCGATTTCTTCGCGTGTGGACATGTCCGGATAGCGGTTCCTCTGGAAAGTGGCCTCTAATTCCTGCAGCTGCTGGCTGGTGAAGTGAGTCCGCTGCCGCCGCTGCCGCTTCTTCTTGGACGGGTCGTCGGCGCCCACGTCCTCATTCTTTCCCTGCTGGTTCTTATCTTTCTCTGAAAACGAAACACACAAAGGTTCCTGTCAGTATGCCCACCGTTAACCCGGGAATTCCAAGTGGACTGGGCGACACTGTCCGGGAAGAGCTGGGTGGGCGGCCGGGAGGAGTGTGTGAGCCGCCACTCGCGCGGCGCGGCGCGGAGCGCTGCGTCTGAGGGGGTGCAGACGTGAGTGTGGGTGTGCGCGCCCCATGTCCTCCCCTCCCCTGGCGCCGCACGTTTTATTTACATGTTTATCTCCCTGCGACAGCACATTCATTTTTATAGCCCGTGCTTTCAAGCACATCCATACGCCTCTGCGCAGACACACCAAACCTCCTGGGACACCCACCCGTGCGCGTTGTACGGACCCTCCTCGAAGAAAGCTCAGCTTTCGATGTGGTTTTGGAAGGCTAGGAAAGTAGACTTTGGGATTTGGTCAAGCACCCAAGTTCCTCCGCCCTTTCAACGACCACCTCTTCTGAGGCAGGGTTTCAGAAATACTTTGCTAACAAGTGGAGCTTCTCCGGGGCTGAAAGCCTAGAGGAGAACAGGGCCCGGGTGGGAGATGGGGAGGGGCCTCTGAACGTTGTCGGACGGAGATGCTTGGATTTTTGTGACTCAAGAAACAGAACCGAGGCCGGGGTTGGAATCGGGAGGGCGGCAGAACGGCCCGCGCCGTTCCCGCCACCCCAGCCGGTGGTGGAGGTAGAGCGAAAGGGACGGAAGTTATGCTGGTAGCTCGCTGAACGACCACTCCCACCACGCCTCCCCCAGCAGGGGCCGACTTCCTTTCGGGCGAGAAGGGTCGAGCGACGCGGGGCGGCTGGGCGGGGGTACCGCGGGGCCGCGCGGCGCCTTACCTGCGGCCTCGGGGCTGGAGGTGTCTGAGATGGTGTGCACCTCCAGCCTGTGTTTGGAAGAGTCCAGGGCGCGGGTCTGACCGGGAGCTAGGACCGAAGCCATAGCCAGCGGCTGGGGATGGTGACAGGAGGACGAGGAGGCGGCCAACAGCTTGGTCCCTGCTGCTCCGGGCTCTAAGTGCAGCGGGCCCTTCAAGCCGTTCATGGACGAAGGAGCACGCCGTCCTATGAGTCCTGGGCCGCCGCCGCGTTGCGATCCAAGCGCGGAGGTTTTCCGCGGTGGCTGCCGCGGGCACAGCCAGGGAACACAACCCTCGCGGAGTCCTCCAGCCGAGCCCGCCCCGTTTCCTTCGGAAGGCTCGAGCGAAAGGGTCGGCGGCCAAAAGTCAGCGGGCAAACGGAGCCATTCGGCCGTGGGCAGGAGGGCACTGCTCGGAGCGTCTTTGGGGAGCAGGCTTGCAAGCTCCAAAGCGAAACCAGAGTGGGCAAAGACCCCTTTCTTCCCTCCCTCCCTCCCCCAAGTACCCCTCCAATAAGGAAAGCTAACGCCGAGCGCGCTCTGCCCGCCCCCGGCGCGCAGCCCTGACAGCGAAGTGTCAAGAGTGACAGGGACAGGTAGCTGATATTGGATCCCCGCGGCGGCGGCGGCGGCGGCGGCAGCGGCGGCGGCGAGGGCCCCGGGTCGCACCCTCCGCGGCGCGCACACGCACACCCCCCACGGGTTGTCGAGCTCGAGCCCGGCCTCGCCGCAGCTCAGCTCCCGGCACCCAGGCCAGCGACGGACCAGATCTGCGGCTCCGCGCTTCCCTGTTGGCCTAACATCTTAAAACCAGAGGCGGGCTTCCTGGTGCCGAGACGTCACTCGGCCACTGCCCTTCCCAACCCTCCCGCCTCCGCCTCCGCCTCCTTCCAGTCGCTTAGCGGGGCTGAGTGACGTGGCTCCGCACCAATCAGGAGGCCTAGAGCCCCGGTGGAGGGACAGCGCTGCCTGCACCTATCAGCTGTGCGGGGCCGGGCAAATACCTTGTTGCGCCCACCGAGTCTACACCCGCCGGCTCCAGCCGGGCAAAAGACGATCGGCTTTTTGTTCGGGCGGGGAGGTGGAAGGATGAGACTGGGAGTAAAAAGATCGGGAGTAAAGGACAGAAAGGTCGAGGGCTAGAAGGTACATGGATCAACAAGGCACCCTCCATCCCTTATTTTTGTGCCTCACTGTATCCATTTCTAATCCAGAGGTGTTATTCTTCCCGTATATGGCAAGGTGACATGCTACTTAAAACCAGAAACACTTAAAAACACCAACAAATCACCTCTCCGATCTTAAAATTTCCAAACAGCCTGTCAGGTGAACGCTGCGCTAATCTGAAAAGGCTTTATTTTAATTGCAAAAAAAGAAAAAAAGAAAAAGACAGAGTCCTGAGAAGTCAGGCTAATAAATTAGAAATCGAGAAGCAAATGGACCCGTCAAAAGAAAATTACCTTGACTTTAAACGAACAACTGTTTGGTGGTTCACTCTGGATTTATACAAGAATAAAAAGTCGCCTCGGATCACGTTCTCTGTAATGCTTATTAGTCCCCAGACAGAAAACACACAATAGAATAGAAACCCTAACCCAGCATTTTCAAAATGCTGAAAGCTTATCCATTCTACTTAACGTTGATTAAGACACATATCCTAGATCTTTCAAATTCCTTGTACACTGTATTAAGCTCGTCCTAACCCAAGAGAGAGCCGAGCTTTAAATTCGACTCTCTTGTTTACTTTATTATCAATCAGATTGAAATCCATAAAGCTTGTAGAATCAACAGCCTTGAGCTAATTATATATAAAATATGCTTTAATGAGTTTCCATACAATTAAGAATGTTGCCAAATAACCAATTTCAAGGATAATTTTTAAGTCATTTTCTTTTCCTAGGAAGCTCAAGGCTGTCTTGAATTGTTCAAGTCCAAGCTGACAGAGGCTGTAGGGTGTAAGCGAAGGGCAAAAGCTTGGAGAACACTCAGCTAGAAAAAGCAAAGCCTTAGTCATTTATATAAAACAAAGGGAAAAACACCTTTGGGGACATCCAATTCTTTACAGCACTATTTCTAAAGAAATTTAATTTCCAAAGAAAGTAAAGAAATAAATTCAAACATATAATTTAAAATAATTTTTGAAAGTCCTTTTGTCCTTTGGCTTAGGTCAGCTGGAGAGCACAAACTAATCTTCCCTGGGTTCTGCATTGGCGATTGCTTTATTGTGGAGTTAGTGTTATCATCCCGGACTGTGTATTTGTTTGACGTTACAGTCAATGATTTGCAACACCAGTATGAGTATCTTCAAAAAACTCCCTTCTTGTCCTTGTTCACAAGATTGGGAAACTTATTCAGTCTGGGGCAGAGTGGATGAAACAGACTCCAAAAATGTTTGTATCCTATGTGTCTCTTCTTTGCTCTGCTCTCCACACCCAAACCCTATCTGCAACTCCTCCCCCATTTTAAACATTCTTAAGAGCAGTCCAAGGAACGAAATGAGAATTGTTCTTCAGTATCTCCTCACAAGTATCGTCCCACTTTAAGGGGCAACTTCCTTCACAGTAAATTTTAAATCAGCATTTCTAATTTTAACCTTTAATTCTAGTTCACCCTCATTCCAGGTATGCACACACCTGCTCAGAGGAGAACACATCCCCATGTGACAGGTCTACATTAGCTGAGGCTCATACATTCAGATATATTAGGTCCTGCAATCTTATCACTAAATTATACGTATTACACCAGCAGTCTGTTGGTAAAGAAGGTTAAATTAATTTACATTCTGTTCATTATCTGGTGCTTAAATGACGCATTTTATCCCTGAGATTTGGAGGAGAATCTCCTCAGACCCCACAGCGTTTCACCGAAGACAATGCTCTTACATTTGTAGTGGTTTTTAATCTGATAAGACTCTAATTTGCTTAAGTCTTTTAAATAAGGGTTTTAGATGTTTCTAGCCGTTTTCTTATTGAATTTCTTCTAATTCCCCCAAGATCATAAAGTATATGGGTAAAGTAAATATTTCCTCCCATTGTACTGCTGGCCGATGACCTATAAGTCAATATGAATCCAGCTCTTTTCTGCCCAATGTGTTTACTAATCATATTCTAGTTTCTTTTTTAAATCTCAGCATAGCTCGGATCCCCACAGTCCCAATGCTCCTAAAGCCTCATTTCACGAAGAAACTCCATCATATCAAAGAATGAAAAATTCTCCATCACAGAGCATGCAGGTTTTTGGTGGAAGCTCATGATGTTTTTCAAAACACCTTACTTGCTTGGGAGAACTGAGAAGCTTCGTGGAGCCATACGGATTCTAAGCCCATCTCTCATTTAACCCGCATAATTTTGATGTAAGTGCAGGTGGCTCTGCTTGACTAATAGAACTTTCATCAGGACAAGTACACACTATGAAGGACCTAAACCAGTCTCCAAAGTGGGTGAAAAACCCAAGGGCAAGTGACAGCTTCTCATAGTGCCAAAGTGTGGGAGATTCTGGAAGTCCTGGTGATCTTCAGGCAGCCTAAAAGCCTAAAAATATAAGGAATCTTAAGTTGTGTCGATCTATTGCAAAGTGAAGTGGAGGAGAATAAAGACAATTATCTGGAGCACTCTGGTTAGAGTGAAAACACACACATACACCATATATATACACACACATACACACACACACACACCATATATATTATATATACATATTATGCCCTCTTCCAACCACAGCTCTCTAAACAACTGAGGCGTTTCTTTGCATTTTTTCCAGCCGGAGTTTCAACTCTCTCCTAATCAACTAATCACTTCGCAAACTCTTAGCTTGGGTAACACATTTCCCAGGCCCAACAACGTTCATTCCATGGGTGGTAGGAATACCAACATGAAAAGTTTCGATGAGGGGAAAGTAATGAGTAGTGAGGAACCAGGAAACACTTTTCAATGAAAATTTTGGTGGTGGTGGTGGTGATGGGCAATTTTGGAGATTTAATTTACAAAAACCTTGTGGGTACACAGGTATCGGCAGTACAGATAAGGAAAAAGTTGGAAGGAAAGAAATCTTATGTTTTTGGTTCAGCACTACTGTCACTCCTCCTCCCCCTTTCTTTGACTGGTTCTAGAAATTTTCCATCCAGAAAAACTCAGCGTGGTCGGTTCAGGGAAGCAGGACGTGGTGCCCGGCCTTCGCTGGGCAAGGACAGGAAGCCCAGTGAGGGTTTGGGTTTTCCTGTCTGAAGACATCAGGTATCGTCTCAATTCGGTTTTCTTGCTTATTCTCTCTAAGAAAGATCCCTTGAAGAGGGAAATGTGTGAATTGGGATCAGGCGAGGTTTGAGCTGGTACTGGTCATCGATTACCAGTCTTAAGGCCTTGTTTAATTTCACACTGTTTAGCGTTAATTGCGCAAAGTCCCTCTGGCTTCCGCGGTGAAACTGGTTGTGTTGTGCCACCAAACTCTCAGTTGCAGCGGTCTGGGTATGGACTGGGACCCACGACTTTTAGAAAAAAAAAATAGCTCCTCAAAGCTCACCCGGAAGATGGCTCCTTTTGCTGTTAGGCCATAGATGGGTAGGAGTCTTGCTCTAGCCCAGGCCAGCTCAAGGACGAGCTCCCCCCACCCCCATTACGCTCGGAGCCACGTGACAAGCGTGAGCGTGTGCACGCGGTGATGTAAGGCGCAGAAGACAGATGGAGACCTTGCACCCCACCCAAGAAGTGGCCCTTCCTCTCCTCTTTCCTCTACCTGGCTTTTCTCCTCACACAAATCAAGATGGAAAGGGCCCCCTCTCTACCCCCCACCCCGGCCATAACCCAGAAATTAAAGGCTTTACTGGGGCTGATTTTCCGCCCCTCATTCCCTAAATGGAATTAAAAAAAAGTGTTAGTTTATAGAAAAGGGTGGATTCTTTCTGAATCAGAACTCTGTACATGTACTGAGCATCTACCTCTCTGGGTCCGTGCACGTGGTCCCCATATTTCTGTCCCCACACTCTCAACCACTTGAGGTATGGCGTGACTAGATGAGGGAGTTCTAGTGTGTGGGGGGGGTGATGTTCCCCCACGCAGGCTGGTGAAGAGACGAGTGAGGGATTAGAGGAGGCGCGGGGGCAGGAGGCTGCTGAAATCACTAAATCCACGTGCTACGTACGATGCCTTTTCACATTAGCGTGTTAGCGCTACAGGTTTATAAGGCGCTCATTTAATCTCGCGACGCAACTAATCATGGAAAACTAAAATTAAGAGAATGGCATAAATGTTTGCTTGGATGGGGGGGTGGGAGAGAGAGAGAAAGAGAGAGAAAGATAAAATGATAAACATCAATATATCAATATCCAGGTCCAGAGATAGAGAAGCAGCAAGGGACTAACTAAAGTCACTTAATAAACAAAACAACAATTGGATTAAAGTGTTCCTCTCTCTCTTTACTCTGTGTCTCCCTCTCCATCTCATGTCCGTCTCCCTTTTCTATTTCTCTTGCTCTCCCTTTTTTCTGTCTTCCCTCTCCCAGACATGCTGGTAGCTAACATTCAGCATTAGTTGTCATGGTGACCATAAATCACATAAATCCAAAAATACCCACCTATAATCTGAGATGAAGCTTTTATTTCCCTAGCGAAATAATATTTTAAAAGCTGTCAGCTGACAAAAAAAGGAACCCAGCTCATTGTAGTAACCCAAGTAATATATTACTTCTAAAGGTTTAAATTAAAATGTCAGCCTGTTAAAAACACGCTGAGAGAATCTTGGGCACTCTTCATGTCATATCCTCACAATGAAGTTGACTCCATCACTCCTAATCACTCTTTA